CGCTATTGCAGTTGTAGATACAAAAGCCTTGGAAAATTTTAATGCTATAAATGCCGTTAATACAAATTTAACAAATAATTATAAAAACAATACACAACTAGCAACCAATTATTACAATAAAACTGAAATAGACGCCAATAACTGGATAGATAACACAGCATTAGCACCTTATGCAACGACGGCGACATTAACGGCAAACTATCAAACGAATTCACAACTAGCAACCAATTATTACAATAAAGGCGAGGTAGATACATTAATAGCAGGAGCAGGTGGCGGTGTCAGTAATCCAATAGAATTGGTAGATGCTAATACGAGCATTGAAAGATACACGAACGCTACAAAGTCAAACATTTCATTAGACTTGTCAATAAATGAAACGGCGAGTGCTATACGACTAATCAACGGAAGTAATGACGACACTGATACCAATACTTATATAGAGTGCAATAATACAACGAACGGAACAACATTTTTTAAACAAGTATTTTTTCGTGAAGCGATGATTATTAATAACGATACTGTATTTTTACCAGTTAGTGCTAACGATATTTCATTATGGCGTATTTCCAATAACACAAACCCAACACTAAGAATTAGAGACGGAACGGCGCAGTGGATATATGTAAATAATAATTTAAGATGCACCAACGCGAATGAAGAGGACGGCAATATTATGATCTTAAATGATAATAGCGCTTCTAATAATTCTAACAGGATGAGATTAGGTAGTTTAACAAGTGCCGAAGTAGGGATAGGCAAAGCAAACGAAAGTGGTTATTTTTTATCAGTAGGCGGAGCTACGAAAGTAGATAGTTTGGAAGTTGATAATAATGTTACAATGAATGGTGATACAATAACTTCAACACATAATAATGGCATTGAGGTATTTAAAAATACGACAGACGCATCGCCAGTTTTACAAGTTAAGAACGCACAAGGATATATTAAAATGCATTCTTTTAATATTAATGCTTACAATACTTCCAATGATAGCCAATCATTATTATTATTATTGAATACAGCAACAGCAGGAGGTGCCGTATATTGTAATAATTTAGGAATTGGAGCAATAGCAGGAGGAGCAACGCGACTAAATGTAGCAGGAGGAGGAAGTAGTAATTTTAGTGGTGATTGTAGTTTTAATGGTTCTAATAATACATTTAATAATAATATTTAAATCAGTAGTAGAGGTAGAATAGATCAACAAGCAAACGCGAATTTTTCTTTAAATCATATTGCCACGATAGAGCAGAATTTTTGTATTCAATCAAATAGAAGTGTAGACCCGACATCATCTGATATATTTATAAATTTAAATGATACTAACGGTATAACATTAAATAAACAAACAGTATTTAATGATACAGTAAATACAATAGGTAAATTAACATCAGAAGGAGATTTTGATGTAGATATCGGAGCAACAGGAACGCCAGAATTTAGAGTATCAGGCAGTAGCGTTAATCTTTTTGAAAAAGCAAGTATTACACATACCCAATTAGCGGGACCAATAGACCAAATATTTTTAAGAAACCCAGATACAAACGGAGACACAATAATAGAAATAGGAACTAAAAATGTTTTGACAGTTAATGATGGAGGTATTGATGTTATAGGTGATATTTCTTATACAGGATCTATTGGGCCAAGCAGTGATCAAAAACTGAAGAAAGACATAAAACAGATCAATTGTAAAAAGGCAGTAGAGCTAGTAAAATACATTGTTCCGAAAACATATAAGTTTATTGATGCAGAAAAATACGGTAATAGATCGCATGTTGGCAGGGAGGCGAATGATTTTATAACAGATAAACTACCGAAAGAATGGGGAAACATTGTTGGAGAAGGAAGAGATGGATAATTGAAATTTGATTATAGCGCTACTACAAGTATTTTATGGAGTGCCTTGCAACATGCCCTTAACCACGTTGAAAAACTTGAAAAGACGATGGCAACAATGAAAGGAGAAATAACAAAGCTCAAGAAGAAAGTAAAAACTAATAGCGATAGCGATTAATATAATATAAGGTATTGTATATGAGTGAGTTTGAAAACCAGTATAAAGTGTGTATGGAATTAATAAAGCAAAAAAGCAGGGAAGTATCGGAAACGGATATATTATTAACTGCCATGAAAGACCTATTAGATAAATTACAGGCAGAAGAAGACAAGGTAGAAGCATTGAAAAAGAAAGAGAAATGTCCGTGTTTTAGTTTTACTACTTTACATTGTTGTCCAGTATCATTGTTTTAATAATTAATAATATAATTAAGATATTATTAAGTATCATCAATTTGTATATACTTTTCAAAGCGCACCATGAACATTTTATTTATGTCTGGTTCCATCAAATTTACATATAAGAAACTGTATGGTTCCTCTGTTGCTAAATTGTATATTTCCAACAATAGCTGTTTTGCTTGATGTAAGCTCTTCATGTCTGACATTCCTTTTTTGCTGATTAAAACACCCGACAATTCATCTAAAACTGCTTCAACTTCTTTATAATTTCTTAGTTTGAAAAAAATTAGTTGTCTTGAATTAGTTCTAATAGTTGTGCTTAGTCCGTTGTATTTTTGTGATGAGCTTATTATATTCACTCCATAATGTCTTGCTTTGGTATATAAAGCATTGAGTAAATTATTATGTTTTGCAAAAGATGCCTGATCAATAAAATCGTCTACCAGGAATAACATCGAAAATGATTTAGTTGCTCCATTCTTCTTCTGAAACTCAGTAATCTTATGTTGTAGGTTTAAAACCTTTTGCATTTCATCAATATTGAATGTATCAAAATATACCCTTTCTTTTTCTGGATTTACCCCAAGATCATTTTCAATATATTTCTTGACAGGTGCCCATACTGGATCTAAATCTATTGAATTTGACCATATAAAAATACGAGAGAAACACCCCCTATAGATATTCAAAGTTAAATTTGAAAGAAGCACTGTTTTACCACTTCCCGACTGACCAGTTATAACCATTGAAAAAGGAATGCGAGGAGCTACATCGTATTTACTTTGTGTGAATGTGTATTCTTTTGTTTTATATGGTTTGACTATTGGTATATCCATTATTTAAGCAGAGAAAATTATATATGATTTAATATAATGGAGAAGTATTTAGAGACAATAAATGATATTGAGGAAATTGAGAAAGTTGTAATACACGACACAAAGCTTAAAAGGTGTTGCACCGCTTCTTTAGAATTGCTTAAAGCAGTTCTTGAGTATTTAAAAAAATCTAAGAAAGTATAATGAACGACAATCATAGGGAAACTAATGAAGGTGGGTTCCACTTAAACACACATGGATTAAACTGTTTACCTTGTAAATGTAGAAAAAAGACTTTTCACAAAGAAACTAAAATAAACAATGAAGGTAAAACAATAATTGAAGATAGGAGTAGTTGGAAGATGGGAAGGGGAAGATCCCCCGATGAAAACGCCATATTCAAAACCATCTCACCAGATAATGAAGGTGTTGATACAGTGGCAACCGGGTGGGGATCAAGAAAGCCTACGCCAGAAGAGAGACTAGAAAAAGTGGAGGAGGAAGTTGAAAGGATAGACAAAGATGTAAATATTTTGAAGAATAATTTAAATATTATGGATTAAAATCTCGTGTATAATGACAGGCCTTAATTCATAATTAGTTTCGTTAAATCTTAAGGTAAAAATCTTGCTATAAATAGTTGCATTTATAACAATATTCTAACATACAATATTAATAATGCCAATAAAAGTAGATAAGATATTACTTGATTTTGAACCACATACTGAAACAAATAATGTTGTTACTAGGAAGTGTTATCGTTGTAAGCAAGTCAAAGACATGGATTGTTTCAAGCGTTGTTATTGCGCCGGTAAGCATTCTTATTATTTTTATGTTAAATACATTGCGACTTGTTCTGAATGCTTAGATAAGTCTGTCAAATAAACCGTGATCCAGTAAACCTTAAGAAAATAATATTTCTGAGGAAAAATGACCTAAAGAAATAACAACTTATATATTATCAGGGAAATGTTCAATCAAAAAGAACAGGATGAAATAACAAATAACTTCTTGGATGTTGTCAAGGTTCACGATTACTTCAGGGAACTCAAGGAAGAGCGACGGAATTGTAAATGTAAAGATTGTAAGAAACACGAACACTACTCCACTCTGTATGAATTGTCACTACCAGAAAATATTATTAATAATATTTACGGCTTTGCTTATTGTTGCCGTAGTTGTCAAAAACGCCAGTTCAAGAAGGAGGGGATAGAGGGAATTATCAGACGTAATATACTACATGTATATGATGTAGATAGACTTATTTTCTCAATTAAACATGACTTTCCCATCTATGACAGGGTTAAAAATGATCTGTTCAAGAAATTGTCAAAAAGAAGATATACAGTGTTCAAATGGATATATGAGGATTGGATGGATATTAAAAATATTAATATTCGTGATAAGATAAACGATTTTGGTTTTAATCCAGATGTATTCATTAGGGACTTTAATAAAATTGTTGGAACTCTTATGAATAAACCTGAGTTTGTCTTAATGGGTTAAACAACCTAGCCAACATAGTTATAGTGTAATTTTAATACATAAGCAGTTATATATTATAATTACAGTGTAGTTACAACCCTTAACCCCAAACCCTGAACCAAATTCTACGAGACCCCCCTTGCCTATTTAGGCCAATAATGCCACCTTAGAGATAATAGATGGGGTAATGGTTATTCCTAGAATTGTGTTGATAATGGTGTAGTAGTAGTGATATATCGGTGAAGTTTAGGGGGGAACCTAGGAATGATCATCTAATGGGGGAAGTAGTTTAGTAGTGATATATCGGTGAAATGTAGGGGGGACCATAGGGATAATCATCTAATGGGTTGGCGGTGGCATTATTAGCCTAAATAGGCAAGGTATACTCTAACTGAGAATCCATGCTCCTCCGAGTTGCCCGATTGCCTAATCATTAGGACCCAATCGTTCGTGCAGGCCAGCTACCCATCTTCCTGCAGACGCTTTGGGACGTTTGTCTTCTGGACATTACATCTACCCTGAAGAATGTCTCTGGCAAGGCCCGCGGAGAATCTCAAGCCTGCTGCCTCGACTCGTTGAGGCTTCGTTGAAGCAATGCGGTCTGAGTCTAGGTGGTCAAGGATGTCAGTGTCCCGTGGCAGCTGCGGGTGCGGCGGGCGCAGGCGAAAAGCGGTTTCGGAGGTTTCGAGCAAATTGGGGCTTCGGAGAATGTTGGGTGGCTGATTGAAAGACAAGGTGACAAGGATCACGACCTGCACTGCGATCAAGGCGTGGGGTGATCACGAGCCCTCAGCTCGTTGAGGCATTGCTCCGCCTGGCACGCATCTTTCGTGATGCGGGGCAGCGCGAGGCTTCAGACACCAAGAAGGCCTGTGTGACTGCTTGGCCATCCGTTCGCTCACGCTGTTTGGGAAACTGGTTTGGATCCGCAGATTTCCGTGCCTGGTGGGTTCGGTGGCATGTCCGATCCATTGTAGGCAGAAGTCGCCAAGCAGCTCCTGGAAGAGGCGGAGGGCTCTGCAATGAGCCCCCAACAACAGCCACTGTAGCCCCGCAAGGCATTGATGGGCTCCGTGAAGCGGTGACCGCTCTGAGACTCAAAGGACGTAGAACGTAGAGCAGCCAAGGAAAGTACTGTGCATCATTGATGGTAGCTTTTCTTTGCCGTCTGCGTGCCATGAGAATGATCAGTATTGCTGATTCTCTGGTTGCAGAGTCTGTGAGTTCAGAGCAATGTCATTGCGGTCTTGCGGTTCTTGCGATGGTATCTTTCGTATTGCCGTCAGCTAAGCTGTGCAACGAACAGCTTTCAAGCACGCATTGCTACCCTGTACAGAGAAGTAGCGCCGCCATGGGAGTGCCATGAGTGAAGATCGTTGCCGAGACGTAGCTTCCGCCTTGTGCCCTCTCTGAATGGAGACTGATGTATTTCACCTTTCTCCGCAAGTGTAGGGAGACCAGTTTGCTGAAGCTACTCCTTGCAACAGCGTGAGCATGTAGATGTTGTTGCAGTTCGCAGCCACAAGTGCTGCAGCCAAGCTCTGAGAACCGCCGAGCGAACCCTGTCCCAAGGCTCTGCTTGACAGCAGCTGCACACGTTCGAACCTGAAAAGCTCGTGTGAAGAATCCCACCCAACGCATTTACCTAGTCACCTAAAGAACCAACGTACCTCGATGATCCTCGATGAGGGTAGTCGGACTAGGTTCTCGCGCTTTTCAGAGCAAGTTAATGTCGCACACAACCTGGCTCACCAGCAGATGCTCTCAAGTCGTGAAATCCGTGTCTTATGTCAGGTGTTGAGCTGTTACATGACTCCGCGGACACAATTCTAGGCCAGGGCCAGTCGGAGCCGGTCTTCATTTTTATTGTTTCTGTCCTGTAGTTGATGCTCAGAGGACATCTGCATGTTGACAAGGTGCCGCTTCCGGTGTGAGGCTGTGAGTGCACTTGGCATTTCCGACACATTGTTTGAAGCAAGGCAGGCTCTGCATTTGGTCAGAGCCGAGTAGCCCTATCGCTTTTACCTTTGGGCATTCCTCGTTCATCAGTTCACGGGGCATACATCTCGTCCAAGGCCCAGGAACAAGGAGATTGCTCAAGCATGCGAGGTTCGCAAATGAAAAGGTGGTATGCAGCTGACACCACGCGGTTGGGAGGCAACTCCCCACCACAACCCTGACGACAGAAAGAGACACAGAGATACAAAGACAGACACAGAGACACAGAGACACAGAGACACAGAGAGTCAGAGACTCAGAGAGACAGCTGCCGAACTACCCCCTCCAAAACCCCGCCATCTTACATGAACCAGCCTCAAGTAATGCAGGATTCGAGGCCCCTTCTCCAGAAAAAAACAGGATTTAGGCGAGGGCTAGCGCCACACTCAGGTCCTGCAGCGGCACCCAACAGGCAACGAGGCCATCATAAGTTTGCTTCTGGACTTGCAGGGTTGTCTGTCAAAGGTGCGGCGGTATGTTCGTCTTGTAGTGGAAGGTGGAAGACGGCCCGACGCTGCTCAGCTGCCCAGAAAACCGGCCGTTCAAGGACTTCCACGGACTCGACTGTGAAGACGTCCGAGTCATCAGATTCGGGCAACAACAATCAAAAAAAAGGAAACGATCATTCGCATAAGCAATGCACGACATCATTAAAATTAAGTTACATTAAATTCTGACTCGGAAAACCCCTATGCAGACAGCTGCTCTTCAAGAACTCTGTGAGAAGCGCGACGCCACGAAGCCAGGAGCTTCAACGATTCGGCCAGCCCTTCTGGGGCCACTTCCGCCGGAGGAAGCTGATGCTGCCGCAGGCAATCCGAGTCTGTGTGGCTGTGCTAGGGTCGCTAGGGCATGGGGCTCGGGGTATATCGAGACTGCGCGGGATTTGCAGAGGAAGCTTCTTGAGCCTCACTCGGCGTCTGTGGCGCTTTCTCAAGCCCGTCCCGAAACTTTGCAACCCTCAACCGTGCATGGGCAGAGGGGTTTGTCAGCCAAGGAAAGCATCATGCCGTATGGGCTGCAGATCGTGGATACTCCCGGTATGCCTCGAGCTCAAGAGGCTGCAGGGGCACATCTCTTCAGTCTTCGCTACAGTCCGAGCCTCCGAGGATCGACATGCCCGTGAAGTCCGAGAGCATGGCCGGTGGTCGAGGCGACGAGTGGCCTCAGGATGTTTCGGGATGCTTCTGGGTTCTCGTTGAGTGGCTCGTCTCTTCGCTGCCTGCACCGGGGTTGGACCACAGCGCACTTCGGAACCACGCTTTCGCTTCTCTTCGATGCCTACGCTTTGCCGACCGCGCATGTTGGATGCTGCCGTGCAGACAGGCTACAACTTCTTGGAAGTCGTCCGCTGGTTTGCGAAACGCCGGGAGCTCTGCAGCTTCAACTTGAGCCCTGGCTTAATCGCCCCCATTCCCAAAAAGCTGAGTCTGGTTGCTTCTGCAGCCAGTGAAGCCAGACTAGTTTGGCATTTCTTCAATCTGAAGGTGCGGATCTGATCCTGCTGCTCTTTGATCCGGACAGGCCTCGACGCAAGACTCGTATCATGTGCGCTGCAGGCATTCACTGTGATGGGTCTTTGCAACCTGTCAGCCATTGCATCAAGCGCAGGGTGGTGTGTGGTTTTTCAAAAAATAATGAGAGCATGGTCAAGGGATTTGCGTGCGCACTCGCACGGCCTTTCCAAGGCCCGGAACAACGGGTGAGTCGTTGGATGTGCTGACGCGCTCCATGGCCGGGTTCAAAGGAGTTGTGGCGATGCGTGTCATGGTGTGTAACATATGCTATGAAGTCCGCGACTTGACCTGGCACCTCCACGACACTCACAGTACTACGTTTTCTCAGGCTGGGCTGGACCACAAGTTCGTCATCATCCTCAACAAGGCCAGAAGCAGCTTTATGACAGCTGTGGCACGGTGAGGCGCTGTCTGTAGATCCAGCAGCAGTGGGGTTCACAGCAGGTGGACCAGCTTGACAGCAGTGTGGACTTTGCGCGCGCCTACGGAACGCTCGGCTGGGCTTTGTCCAAGGTGCTCTGGGCTCTGGGTTTGAGACCTTTCCAAGCCATCACTTGATCGCCGGATTGGCCCACGAGGTGACTCTCTGAATGCCTTGGACATGTTTATATGCTGCCTTGATGATGCAGGTGATTCCACGCAAGGCCTCCGCGAGGGTGACAGGGAGATGAAGCCAGGTTTCTAGGTTGTTTTTCAGGGTCCTTGGTGCGCTTCGTCTCCGAGAGGACATTCCTCAGATCTACACGATGTACAATGCCGGGGTGGAGCACGCGGAGTCCTGACCTGAGGGCCCTCATGATCTAAGCTTTAAGCATCTTGAAACTAACGAAGAGAAGCCAATCCAATGCCAATCCTCTTGATGTACCCCCGTCTCGGCAGCAAAAAGCTTCGATCTCCACGCAGGAACGGTGTCCGTGAACACAAGCTCCCACTGGAGGCGCGACCTGTGTGTCGTAGATCGTGAAGCGCAGACGTCATTTAGCAGCACACTGCGCCTAGCTGAACGGGCGCCTCGTTGCTAGTTCCGCGTGCGTCGTCTCAGTTTGCGTTTGTCCATCCGGTCCACGTCTTGTGCGAGGCCTTCCGGCAAAAACGCGAGGAGGTCGTCCAGGAGGTCCTCCGAGCGCGGACTCGCCACTGGGATAATGCAGCTCGGCACCTGTTGAAGACATGTCGGGTTTGGGTGTCGGTGCGATTTCATGTGCAAGTGCGCATGTTTTGCAGCTGTTTGAGCGTCTTAAACGTATGACCAGTACGATGACCAGGTCATCACTGCGACGGAGGACCCTGTCTCAGTGTTGCAGCTACCCACGGTGCTCCGACGGCGGCAGAGTACGTACTAGTAGTAAATAGGGCGGTGGGCAGTGTTGTTGGACCCATGGTTACGTGCGGCAGATCGCTTCTCTTCGTTTCTTGATGCTGACAGAGGCCTTGCCCTCCCCAAGCTGTGCATGTTGGCACACCTCGGCCCAGCTGAAGGCAGTCTCGTGCTTCCTCAAAGCAGAGGCGAGATTGTTTGCAGGACACGCTGCGCCAGCTGGAGATGGTGTGCACCGTCACCAGTGCTGTGAGCCAGCGTGTGCGGAGGCAGTGAGCGACGGCATATTTTCACTCGTGCAAGTCCCGCATGAGCCATCGACATTGCCAGCACAGCTCTGCAGGCAAGCGAAGGAGGCAACCCTCTGGTCTTCTTGCTTAGTTGGCCGTGCTCTCGGAGAGGGCTGCGAGCAGTTGTGCAGGATGCTTCTAGGTTGTAGGTCCTCCCCCGACAAATCGAGAAGGTCAGTTGAATTTCGCAAGCTGGAACCATGCCCATGCAGGTAGCCGCCAAAATAGAAGGAGCCCAAGTTTCTTCAGTTCTTTTACTTTGGGATGTTATAACTTGATATAACCTGTTGCTTGGTTTTCTATGCTTCGATTTTGTTGGCCTGTTTTGCCTAATGTTTTTTTTGTTTGTTTTTGTTTTTCTTGTCTGCTTCGCTTTTATGTTCTTCTGCTCTTCTGCTTTGCAGCTGTTCTCCTTCTGCATGTGTTTGCTTGTCGTTTTCTGCTTGTTTTTGCTTTTGCTTTTCTGCTTATCACCTTTTCTGCTTTTTTGTTTTCGGCTTCTTGGATCGCCAAACGAGACGTGATAAACAGGGATCGCCTAATGGCGGGTATGCTTAAATTGAAGTATGTGATGACAGTTGTGATGAGTAAGATATGTGATCAACCTGAATCGCCAAATGAGGGAGCGGGTTAAAGAATTGTGGCAGTTGTGATCAACCGGGGTCGCCTCATGAGGGGGCATGTTTAGGATATGTCATGAATCGGCGTTGTTAAACGAGGGGCGGGTTGCAGAAATGTTATCAACCAGGATTGCCGAATGAGGGGGCGTGTTTAAGATATGTGACGAATTGATATCGCGAAACGCGAAAGGAGGGGGCGAGTCTAAGATATGCGATCAACCTGGATCGGCAAAAGGGGGCGTGCTTCAGATTGTGATGATTCGGAATCGCCCAAGGAGGGCTCAGGGGGCGAGTTTAAGATATCCGAATATCGCCAAATCTCCGGTTTCGTGCCCGTTGAATGCGAACACATGAGTTGTTGCGTATTAAACCCCTAGACCCTTCGGCTTCGTGCCGTGAAGTGCGAACACGTTCGTTCTTGCGTAGGTAACCCTACGCGAGACCCACCGGTTTGTTGGCGTGAAGTGCGGATAGGTTGGTTTTTGCGTACCAAAAGGTTCCTGTGTGCCCCCTTAGATCGGCATTTTGCAGTGTGTGCCTTAATCTTAGAGTTTTTACCGACTGCGCGTTAAACCCGCTGGCCTACATCCAAAGGAAAGCGCTAAATCGTTTCCCCAAGTACTGCTGCACCAACGAGGGTGGTCCATATCTTGTCTGTTTGCAGTGAGTCACACATCCAGCACATGAAACCCTCTCTAAACGTCGAAAGGTATGCACCGCACCACAGCGGGAGGCACGCGCAGCGAGCATCCTGCGCAAATAATAGGACGCGGGGACCGGATTTGCACCATGTGCCGTAAATTAATAACAGGATACGAGGAGTTGGCAAAAGCGTGAATAAAATTATGTTACGCCAGAATGTCCACCTGTCCATAGTGGCGCCACAATCACAACCACCGACCAAGAACATCCTAAATCAATTCTCGTACCAATCTCAAAGTCTATCCATGCTTCCATGAGCCAAGGCATTCCAGCCATGGTCGGATTCAAGCTTCTGCATGACCGATGGGCAGGCCCTGCAGTGTTGTGGAATCCAGTTTCTGAGCCAGCATCGCCCCCTTCCTCCTCTCTTCGCGCCTCGTCGCCTCTTGAAGGTAGCCGGTGGTTTGGCGCCAGCAGCAAGCCCAGTGCAAGAATCGTGCATGTCTTTGCGTGTTGCGTGAGTGGCGGAGACACACACAGAGAGAGAGAGAGAGAGAGAGAGAGCGGCGCGGGGGGCTTGAGACGCCTCCTGAACCCGGAAGCGAAGTGAAGCGAAGAGGGAGAGCGAGCGAGACAGTGTCAGCGTGTGATATACATCAACGCAAGGAAGACATGCCAGTTTTTGTTATCGGTGCCTATGGCGTAAGCAGGCGCAGCTGGCGTTGCACTTCTCCTGACCTTCGGTGTCAGTCGGCTGGTCTCCGAGTGCCCCCTTTCGTGGCACATGGTGTGTAACCACGGGGTGTCGCCCGAGGCAAATGTTACATTTCAAAGTACTCACCATCGCGATCACATGTCGACTGTCACTACAAGTGTATCTCTTTTCTAGCATGCTTGGAGCTAGCATGCTTGAACAGCTTGTGGCTGAAGTTGAAGAGCGGTTTGCAACAGCGGCAAGTGCATGGCCAACCATCCTTCAATCTGTCTGCGAAGTTGTGTCACTGCTGGGGTTAAATCGTAAATAGACGCAAACAGTGCCTGCATGTAGCAGCAATAACAACCGCAGAGCTTTCGGGCTTCGCTTTATTGTAACTAAGGGGTGTCAGCAGCTACTTGACCGATTCGCGGCAATGGCCCTCTGCAGCTGCGAGGGCGGTGGGGCCCCACCGGAGGAAAAAGATTATGAGGTTCGACAGCGATCGTCTAGACTCTACAGTAGACATGAGTGTGATGAGCTCAGGAAGCAAGGAGCTTTGTGTTAAATCTAAGCCTGCGAGGCCCTCCTCACAGCTCAGCTGGACCAGCTCCGGGCGAATCTGCTTCAGCAGCACCGGGCCGCAGCTTCGGCTAGTTTCGGCTATGTTTGGAGCGGCGTAAGAATTGTAAGGTGCCCTGTGATTCGCTTTTCGCTTTTTTTTGTGTTTGGTCTACACATTACTGTCATCTCCACTCTGCCCAGGAACTCTAAACCTTTCACCCCACTCATGGGACGCACGAGAACAGGAGACGGATCGGCTGCGCCAGCACAACCTCAAGCTCCGAGCTGAGCTGGGGCTCCTGCACCAGGCCTTGCTTTTTAGGAAGTGGCGAGAATTTTCTTAGACTTTGTCTCCTACCTGGGCCCTGGTGAATGTTGTGTGTGACCTGCTTGGGTTTGCATCCTGACGGGGTTTAAGTGGAAATAGCCATTCGAAGTTGTCTTCATGAAAAGTTACTACGTCCCCGCAGTGCCTGCCAGGGCATATCTGCCGATGATGACCCGTTGGTCACCGTGGCTGACAAGGCCCGCAACCCAAATTCTTGGCAATCAGTTTAGCGGCAACAAGACCTTGTGACTTTACAAGCCACTTGAGGACCTTGCAAACTCGCCAGCCCCGCTGTTGGTGGCATCCCGTCTCAACCTGGTCAAAGCCATGGGGCATGCTGGTTTCATCTTCTGTACCATTGACATAGCTCGCTTGCCACCATTCAATTCTCTGCCTGCCAGTGTAGTAAGACTTTGAATTCCAAAAGCCTGAAGCCAGCGCTGTCCGAACACCGAGGAGCTTCTTCCAGCATCGGATGAAAAAGATCGCTTGACCGAGCCCGCACACAGGCGGACTTCAGGGGTCAAGCCTGGCACATTGTACCTTTGATTGCCGGCTAGGAGCCTGCTCACTGTTTAGCATTGGTCAACATTTCCTCACAGACTCATACTGGTAGTACACCTATCTCAAGATGTGCAGCAACTGCCCTTGCCCTCAGCCTCACATTGATGCTTCTTCAATTCCGAGTCCTTTGGTGCACACGGTGAGGTAGTCACGCAGGAGCCTGAGCCCCCAAAACCCGGTTTATTCGTCTCGTCCAAGAGGTGGGGCCTTCTCGTCGCTTCTTTACTGGACGGTGAGGCTGCCAGGGCTTGAGAATGCTTTGTGATGCTTCGAATTTCATGACCTTCACATGGAAGAAACGGAGACGGAGAAGCTCTCCTTTGCACCCCACTTGCACCGACTTCAACGCAGGGTGTATGGCTGTGCAGTGGCCATCCGATTTCCGCAGAAGCAAACATTACACAGAAGCCAGCCAGCAATTGTGACAGGACTCTGCTGACTGGGATCCTGCCCCCGTTCCTCCTGCTGCGAGCCGCATCAGCAATATCTTGCGTGCATGGCATGTACATGTGAGGATCGACTTGAGCATATACTTCGCAGCAGAAGCTGTCGAAGCAGCGATCCATGTACTTGCAGACTTGCAGTGTTTAGCAACCGCGGCTCATTGCGAGTGCAGTGACTCAGGGCCAGCTTTACGCCGGCGCCTCTGCAAATGAAAGCTTCCTGGGCAGCCGGTGTACACCAGATGCGGCAATTCAGTCATCCGGACTAAATGGAGACATGGGGTTTCCCATTTCCCACCGAACTTTCGGACTTTCGGGTGAGTCAGTTTGAGTCAGTGGATTCTGGCACACATACGCATGTGGTACCAGGAAGCTACCGGACAACACTGAGCTCGAAGAACAGCACGCTGCGGATGCAAGATGCTGTGCAAGAGGACACTGGTTGAGCCGTTTACTCTTCCGTTCTCCGACTTCCGCCTACTGGCACACTCCTCAAGAGGTAGAGTCTGCGTAGAAGGCACCTGCAGTCCCAGCACATCGCGAATCCACGTGCTTGTGGCGCTGAAACAGTGCAGTGTCGACAGTCCTTTCCAGGAGGATAGCATCTTCCAGCGCTTCGTCGTGGGCCCACGCAGCAAGCAGCAAATGCTTTGGTCTACCGTCGGAGCAGTGTGGATCGTCTGGGACCTGTGCCCTGCCTGGACTTGCGCAAGGTTCGCTTCCTTGGTTAGGCAGCGAAAGGTTGGGCATGGGCAGTTCGGTCTTGTGGTGTGCTGCCACTTAGTCGGTGGAAGCTGATTGCGTGCTGCCAGAATCGGAACGGAGATGGAAGGTTGCTGCGGACTCTGTCTTGCTCCGCACACATCGCCTCAACAGTTGGGGTTCCTTGCTGCTCACAAGCACCCGTGGCCCTGAGAACTGACTTGCGGCAGAAGATGAGGATCACTATTCCACTGGGTCTTTTTGATGATGAAGACTTCATCCGGCTCATGTCCAACGTGGCACGGGTCTCCTTCGTGTGTCTCGGATGCGAGAAGCACTCCAGAAGTTCTATCGCAAAGCAATCAGTTTTTGCAAGAAAGTTGCACCACTAGACTCGTTTGAACAGGTACTGGTTCTTCGACATACCGGTTCACTTCTTCTTTGGCATCGAGAAGCGAGGTCTGTCCGAGCCGTAAAAACCAGGAATTCACTCGCAAGGCATCCACTCGCACTGCTCGCATCTGCTCGCACTCGAAGCCGTCACCTTCATTGCTACCACAGCTGGCAGTTATCTGCCCTTCGTCAGCCCGGCATCCGCAGGGAAGCTCGAAATGCGGCCTTCCGTCCTTGCGAGACACTACTTGCGCCCCTCGGCTGTTGCAAGTCAGCGCTGGCCTTGTCTGATGAAGATACATGTGTAAAGTTTTATCCGGGCATGTCGCCTGCTTGTTATATGCCAGACGTCCCATGACGTGTGCATGCAAACATGTGACTGGCCCAGAGCCAGGTTTGAAAGGCTTGCTGCTTGGAGTCGGCCTCGGCTGAGGCGGGTGGTTCTTGGTGGATGTCATGATCGTGGCGTTGGATGCAACGCTAATCCTGGTGGAAGCCCTGCGTGACATGGGCGTGCACCCTGGCGCTAGAAAAGGTTCTGAGGCCTGAAAGAAGCCGTGCTCCATGGGCCAAGAGCCCCCGAAGAGCCCATCGGCGGTAACACTCGTTGTGTTAGTTTCGCGAGTTGCCTCTATGTCTCTCAATGATGAAAATTGTCGGGCTGGACTCCACATGCCAGCCTTAAGGAATTCGACCATCTTTCGATCTGCGCGCTTCCTTCGGACGCTGCGGCTGTTGCGGCTGCTTCGTCTGCTGCCCTCAAGAGTATGGTTCAGCAAGAACCTCCGCTAGTTTCGCATTCCGAGGCTGTGATCTTGTAGAAGTCCTAGTTAGCATCCAGGGCTATGATCGTCAGTGGCATGGAATTCGCCTCTACTCACTACTTTCGAGTCAGCTTAGTGCCAGGTGCCATGAGCTGCTTGCAAACTGATAGAAAGAAACATCTCCCTCCCTTGCCCCAGTCTGGGATTGTTGCTTCTTCAATCAGTTCAATCATCACCTAATCAGGCCGCTCTGCCTGCTGCGCCCTTTTCTGCCCTGCCCTACCCTTGCATTGTGTCAAATCTTTTATGATTCTTGGAACGTTTTTGTGCATTGTGTTTGCAAACAGGCGGGTATTTAGGCTGACGGGTACTGGTTCGTAGTACTTGTGCTACTACCACTCCTCCTCCTCCGACGACGACTGCTACTACCGCAACGACAGCTACTGCTGCTACTGCTACTACTGCTGCTACTACTACTACTACTACTACTACTACTACCGCTACCGCTACCGCTACCGCTACCGCTACCGCTACCACGACCACGACCACGCCCACGACCACGACCACGACCACGACCACCACCAGCACCACCACCACCACCGCCACCGCCACCGCCGCCACCACCACCACCACCACCACCACCACCACCACCACCACTACCACCACGACTGCGACTGCGACTGCGACTGCGACTGCAACTGCAACTGCAACTGC